TTCTTCGGGGTAAAGGAGATTGTTTGCCGTTGTAAACTACTGGAATTGTAATTCGGTTGTGGCTATCTTTGTCAATTTTGTATGAAAGTTCCTTACAAATTGTTTTAATAGCAAAATCATCATAATTCAGACCAATGAACCTCTTGACTTCACCAATGACGCTTGCATTTTCCACAGATACGCCTATCGGGGTCTGAGTAAAATTGACTATCGAAGCCGATACTGTACTATTAAAACCAAAATCAAGCATAGTAGCACGTTTTGTATTATTGTCAGAGTAACTCAAACTTGAAAATGTGGTACCCAAATCAATGCCAACATATAAATCTTCGTTTTGTGTAGACATTATTGTATTTAATTAGTTTCATAACCTCTTTATAACATGTAATGATTTTTTCATTTTTAAATATTATAATACCATAATAAACATCATATTTCATTATTTTGTTTTTACTCACTTAAACCCAATACTGCTTTTTTAACACTTTTTTATATTTGTTCCAAAACCATTTTAATAATTTGAAATTAATAGAACATTATCTAAGTGATTTGATCAACATTACTTTAGTCAATAACATTATAATTATGTTTTTAATTTGTAGTAAAAATCCATTGTTATTGTCAATGACAATTAGTAAAGTTAAAAATCAAAGTAATGTCTTTGTGATTAAATATCATTTTTATAATAGTTTACTATTATAAAATGCGATTATTATCATTATGTTATAGTTTTTATGTTAAAATTGTTTTAAAAAATAATTAAATTGTGTTTATTCTCAATTTTCGGAAAATATAGTACACGTCCCAATCATTTTTATAAAACCTCGACTTTATTGATTTTTGTTTGTTTTTTAGTGCTCTAGTGAGATCACGTTTTATGCCCAGAAGTTTAGCTTTTTTCAAACATATTATATAAACAAAAATATTTTTTTTTATTTTTATTAAAAACAAATAAACAAATTTGTTCTAATCAAAGTGTTCAATTTCTGTTTCGTCTAAATTTTGACTTTCTTTTTCTTGTATTAATCTAAGTTCTTTGTCTAAAACATTAAATTGTTTCCTTTGTTGTCTTCTGTATATTAAACTACTTTTCTTATGTGCTTCTCT